ACTGTAATTCCTGTGTAAATACATTTATACCTCTTCAATGCATTCAGAGGCCCCGGGATGCTGACCCTAATCCATCATTATAAAGTGGAAAGGTGATGTCAGTTTGTTCTACTGACAGTATTCCACAGGCTTTAACAGTATCTCAGTTGTAACCCAATATGTGTGTATTACTGATACAGTGGTATTTATAGATGTCCTGGTGCATAGTGAAACACTGACACATGCAATTGGAAACCTTTTCTTCTTGAATGGCTTCCAGTATTTATTCGAGGTTTATCAAAGCCTGGGGGTATCGTGGAAGATCTTTATTGCAAATATTAAAGTATAATCTCTCTTTACTTCCTCCGTCAGTGCAGACATTTTTCTATTGTTATGGGAAATGTAGCCTCTCTCGTCACTTAATGGAATTTTCCAGTTAGTGTGTGGAACAGATGTAATGGAGCACATACTTCCTGAGGTTGTTGAGCACCATGATGTTGGCATACATGTGGAAGAGGTAGTAGCTATAGGGAGGGTTGTCATCTGTTGTCCATTGCTCAGGCTTGGGGCTCTTATAAGAGAACATGTGATCGCTATGTTTGGATTCATCATCCACACTGTCAAAGCCAGTCACCTAAGAAAGGGGGGAAAAGTTTCTGTCTGATCTGAAGTGCACGATGTCAAATAATGTTCTAAAATTGCAATAACTGTGATCAGGAATTAACCAAAACAAAAGTATAAAATAAACAACATGGACAAAAGAATGTGGACACCAGCTTCCATGCTTCTGGAAAGGTTTCCACAAAATGTGCATGGACATGGAAGCAGGGATTTGCTCCCATTCAGACACAAGAGCATTAGTGAGGTCAAGCATTGGTCAGAGGTCAGGCGTTTGCTAATTGGGCCTGACTTGCCGTTGTCATTTTAATTAATCCTTAAATATGTTGAGTGGGGTTCAGGTCTGGTCTTTGTGCAGACTAGTCAAGTTTTTCATACAGGAGCAGGAAAGATTGTCCCTGAACTGTTTAACATGTTGAAAGCACACAGGTTTCTAGAATGTTATTGTATGCTATAAACATTACGATTTGAATTCACTGGAATTACTGTAATATTCAAACTTGTTCATTAAAAGGGAGTTTCCATATACATCTGGCCTTGTGGCATTTAAAATAATTACATGAATGTTACATGAAGTACACTGATTAAAAATGTATAATGAACCTTTAACTTACATATTTTAGAAATACATGGAGCTCTTTGTGCTTCTGAGGATTCACTGTAGCCTCGAACAGAGGAAGGAAAATGTTCTCAAGCATCTTGGCAAAATTAGGAATCAACTTACGTGACTTGAAAATGTCACTGAAAGAAATAAGCATAAGATAATTGTAAATCAAGAAATGAATACTTTCTGAAAATGTAGAATTTGATGTAGCTACTTACTATATTCTGGGCACCTGAATGATCCAGCGCATGTTTGGGGAGTACACTTTGTGCTGAATAAACCAATGGGAGAGACTTTCCCACTCCTCAGGGGAACGTCCATAGATGGACAGTCGTGGTTCGGCATGCTGATACTTGCTCTCCTCAAGATCATGTGCTACTTCCTGACAGAGATAAAGAGGACTCTTTTTTTTCAGAGTGGGAAACTCTGAATTTTCTTTAAGCCCCGGGTTTCCGATCTACAGTAAGATCATAAGGGTCCATATTCAGGTTGTTAAACACCTGTTGGAGAGTTAGTTTAACCCCTGCCTTCTCCAGGACGACTCTCTCTGCATCAGTTTTATAGGTTGTTTGGATGAAATCAAGCAGGTGTTTTTGGTTCATACATGCTGCTGCATGGATATGTGTATCTACCTGTAAGTTAGAATTTATGTACGTTTAGACAGCAGGGTAAATTACATTTGCATATACTGATGTGTGTTTCAAATGATACCTTTCTGACATTGTAGAAATCTCTATGAGGAACACCCTTGAGTTCTTTTAGTTCTGCCATTTCGTTGAGCATTTCATGTAGGTAAAACTTTGACCCAAGGAAGTTTAGTCGTCTATGACAGTAGGTCTTACTGTTGAAAGAAGAAATACTGCTTTAGATCTCAGAATTCTGGAATATGCAGATAAAGAGAATTGTTGACTTCTGTGGTGATATTGGTTGGAGACTTACGTAGGCCCATCGGCGATCATGGCGAGCACGTGACTCATGTCAATGGCAAATGTTTCCAGGTCTGGATAAGGCAGACAGCGTGGTTTGTTCATACTCAGAGCTTTAATGTTTTCATATACATAAATAATGCCATCCTTCATCTTCATCTGATAATTGAGGTTGTCTGGAATATTCTCCATGCTGTAAGGATCCTGTCCTTCACCAGGGCAGGGACAGATATCTGTGGAGAGCAGAAGAATTACAAAAAAAAGGTAAGCTGGTGAAGCTGGTTGACCAAGAAAGTATTGTTGGTTAAGTTAGTAAGAAGACAGCAGTAGACCAGTACAGAATCCCTTGCTGGTGACCGGCATAAAAAATGCTGGTTTTCCCATCAGAGGAGAAAGAATAATTCCCATTCTAGCACAGTATTTCAAGTGTTCTTAGTTGAGCTACAAATAACTAATGTTAACTTAAGTCTTCTAAAATTAGTTCAATGTTGATGTCTTGGGAAAAAATTCCACTGAAATGTTTATAGAGCCTAAAATAAACCTAGAAAAAGAGCATGGTCTCCATGTCATGTCTGGTTATGAACCCTAAGTAAATACAGATGTACCTGGAAGGATTTCATCTTCTTCTGTCCACCTTTCATTTGCTGCATTACGTAGAAACTTTGCAGTGGTCCATGGGAATCTGTGATATGCCAGTTTTGAGTATTTTTCTCGAATAAAGAGAGCTTTTAGCAGACTTTTAGCTGCTTGCTCATAGTCCTCAACTGTAATCTGTAAGAGCACAGTGATTGTAAGACAAGACATGATTGTTAAAACATGGTCAGCTGTTAAAAGTGCCTTTGGTGGTTGAACTTTCAACAAATTATGACAGCAAGTAGAGAAAGTTGCTTGATTGTAAATTCTAATATTACACACCCCAGCACAGTAGTCTCCACTTATGGTGACTCTTTGATACTCTGGGAAATTTTGAGAGATGGAGGAGCAGGTAGAGGAAGGGGAAATGAGGGGCGTCACCACACCCCAGACATTCTCCGTACATAATGGGATTTGCAGTGACATAGATTTGGATCGAATCATCTTAAAACTCTTCTTCCTACAAAGGATAAAAGCAAAATGGGACTATAAATTAAATAATAAATTCATTAAGCATTTGTATCATATCATTAATTGTTCTGCTGGAAAACCCAATGAAATTCAGCTTCAGATGGTAGCTGGTTTGACATATTTTCAAGATGGTCCAAAGTGGTCATTAAGGTCATTAACCCGCCCAAGCTGGTCTAGATCAGGGGTTTCTAATCCTGGAGGGTCACTGTTCTACAGAGGTCAGCTCCAACCCTTATTAAACATGTCTGAACCAGCTAATCAAAGTCTTGAGGATCACTAGAAACTTCCCGGCAGGTATGCTGGGGCAGCAGGTTAGAGCAAAATTCTGCAGGACTTTGATTCACTAGAAGCAGGATCGGAAACACTCTGGTCTACATAGTTGACCAGTTGGTGGACCTGGTTTCACCTATGTAGACCATATTGGTTAAGCTGGTAAAAGACCACTTTGGGCCAACAGCTAACCAGCTACTATGTTCCAAAGACCAGCTTGTCCACCATAGACTGGAATGACCTGGAGTTTCAAGTAAGGTGAAGCTAATGATACTAATTGATGCTGACCGTTTGGCGCTTTCCTCTGACTGTTGCTCAGCCAGTTCTCTGAGTAGCTCCCTCTGTTTGGCTTCCTGCAAGCCAATTGGACAGTCCTCTGGGACAGTGTACATGGACAGGGCATCTTTTGTGTCCTCTTCCTTCAGTGCTGAGGCATACACTTTCTCTGCCAGCAGACGAACTTCCTCATCCACATCACTCAGAGCAATCTTTGGGAACTGCCGTGGCATATCTGTATAGAGGCAAATTTAAACATACTTTAGTAACATTACGCTGCTGTATTCATAAAGTCACCTTTCAAGAGTTTACAGAAGTACCGTACTAGTTCCTGAGTTGCTGTCACTGCTCAAAACAACAGGGTTACTTTGATGTATATTTCATGGCTCATATCAACACGCTTGCTGTAAATAGTCCTGGGATGCCATGTGCATTCCCAGGCCATTGATTCAGGCCTGCAGAGTCAGTCACTAGGCCAGTGCACAGCTGCAGACACACTGCCCTATAAAACAGTTATGTTTGTGTGAGGACAGATCAAGTGTCTGAGCCCTGGGTGTGACTTCTCCCTGAACAGTTAGGAACATGGTCCACAGTGGCCGCATCAGGTGCTATCCTTGGCAAGAACCAGATCCCTTTGTCAAGGTTTCCATTCTTTTAAGCCGTTCTGAGAAACTCCTATATCAAGTAGAGTTTGTGCCCATCATACTGACTGTTGCCAGCTGCATAACCATAGGTACTGTCGACAAGCTAAAGGATATCTGGCACAAAACTGGAGCATATTCCATCTAGCTTTGTTGATTGAGAAATAAAATTACCATAAATTACTACCTGACAGAGATAAAGAGGTCTCTTTTTTTTCAGAGTGGGAAACTCTGAATTTTCTTTAAGCCCCGGGTTTCCGAGTTGGGGCGTGTCAGTGAGAAAACATGTCGGATGCAATGGATGCAAAAGGGGTGTTGTTTTACACAACGATTGAGAAATTTTAACCAAAGTATGTTACAGACATTTCATGTAGACCCTAAAGAATCATATCAACTTGTGGAAAATGGGCATCTGATGTCCCCCTTAAACTAAAAATATATGAGTACATTTGGCATACAATTAAGTTATAAAATAAACAAAGTAAATGTTAAAGGGGTCATATGATGTTGCTAAAAAGAACGTTATTTTGTGTATTTGGTGTAATGAAATGTGTTTATGCGGTTTAAGGTTCACAAAACACATTATTTGTAAGGATCCTGTCCTTCACCAGGGCAGGGACAGATATCTGTGGAGAGCAGAAGAATTACAAAAAAAAGGTAAGCTGGTGAAGCTGGTTGACCAAGAAAGTATTGTTGGTTAAGTTAGTAAGAAGACAGCAGTAGACCAGTACAGAATCCCTTGCTGGTGACCGGCATAAAAAATGCTGGTTTTCCCATCAGAGGAGAAAGAATAATTCCCATTCTAGCACAGTATTTCAAGTGTTCTTAGTTGAGCTACAAATAACTAATGTTAACTTAAGTCTTCTAAAATTAGTTCAATGTTGATGTCTTGGGAAAAAATTCCACTGAAATGTTTATAGAGCCTAAAATAAACCTAGAAAAAGAGCATGGTCTCCATGTCATGTCTGGTTATGAACCCTAAGTAAATACAGATGTACCTGGAAGGATTTCATCTTCTTCTGTCCACCTTTCATTTGCTGCATTACGTAGAAACTTTGCAGTGGTCCATGGGAATCTGTGATATGCCAGTTTTGAGTATTTTTCTCGAATAAAGAGAGCTTTTAGCAGACTTTTAGCTGCTTGCTCATAGTCCTCAACTGTAATCTGTAAGAGCACAGTGATTGTAAGACAAGACATGATTGTTAAAACATGGTCAGCTGTTAAAAGTGCCTTTGGTGGTTGAACTTTCAACAAATTATGACAGCAAGTAGAGAAAGTTGCTTGATTGTAAATTCTAATATTACACACCCCAGCACAGTAGTCTCCACTTATGGTGACTCTTTGATACTCTGGGAAATTTTGAGAGATGGAGGAGCAGGTAGAGGAAGGGGAAATGAGGGGCGTCACCACACCCCAGACATTCTCCGTACATAATGGGATTTGCAGTGACATAGATTTGGATCGAATCATCTTAAAACTCTTCTTCCTACAAAGGATAAAAGCAAAATGGGACTATAAATTAAATAATAAATTCATTAAGCATTTGTATCATATCATTAATTGTTCTGCTGGAAAACCCAATGAAATTCAGCTTCAGATGGTAGCTGGTTTGACATATTTTCAAGATGGTCCAAAGTGGTCATTAAGGTCATTAACCCGTCCAAGCTGGTCTAGATCAGGGGTTTCTAATCCTGGAGGGTCACTGTTCTACAGAGGTCAGCTCCAACCCTTATTAAACATGTCTGAACCAGCTAATCAAAGTCTTGAGGATCACTAGAAACTTCCCGGCAGGTATGCTGGGGCAGCAGGTTAGAGCAAAATTCTGCAGGACTTTGATTCACTAGAAGCAGGATCGGAAACACTCTGGTCTACATAGTTGACCAGTTGGTGGACCTGGTTTCACCTATGTAGACCATATTGGTTAAGCTGGTAAAAGACCACTTTGGGCCAACAGCTAACCAGCTACTATGTTCCAAAGACCAGCTTGTCCACCATAGACTGGAATGACCTGGAGTTTCAAGTAAGGTGAAGCTAATGATACTAATTGATGCTGACCGTTTGGCGCTTTCCTCTGACTGTTGCTCAGCCAGTTCTCTGAGTAGCTCCCTCTGTTTGGCTTCCTGCAAGCCAATTGGACAGTCCTCTGGGACAGTGTACATGGACAGGGCATCTTTTGTGTCCTCTTCCTTCAGTGCTGAGGCATACACTTTCTCTGCCAGCAGACGAACTTCCTCATCCACATCACTCAGAGCAATCTTTGGGAACTGCCGTGGCATATCTGTATAGAGGCAAATTTAAACATACTTTAGTAACATTACGCTGCTGTATTCATAAAGTCACCTTTCAAGAGTTTACAGAAGTACCGTACTAGTTCCTGAGTTGCTGTCACTGCTCAAAACAACAGGGTTACTTTGATGTATATTTCATGGCTCATATCAACACGCTTGCTGTAAATAGTCCTGGGATGCCATGTGCATTCCCAGGCCATTGATTCAGGCCTGCAGAGTTGTAACACTCCAAAGAGAAAGGAAAAATTTAAATCGCATCATATGACCCCTTTAAGTTAGCTGAACTTTACATTTACCCTCAACAGGTAAACTATTGTTCACTAGCACAGTAGTTGGTATCTAGACTGTCTCTGTGTTTCTGACACAAAACTGTGCTTAAGCACTAACGTTATTTATGTTTAGAGCTTCATAATGTTCACTTTTACACTGATATATGAAATGAACACATTAAAATGCATTAATATTTGTAAGAATATAGATGCCATGTGCATTCCCAGGCCATTGATTCAGGCCTGCAGAGTCAGTCACTAGGCCAGTGCACAGCTGCAGACACACTGCCCTATAAAACAGTTATGTTTGTGTGAGGACAGATCAAGTGTCTGAGCCCTGGGTGTGACTTCTCCCTGAACAGTTAGGAACATGGTCCACAGTGGCCACATCAGATGCTATCCTTGGCAAGAACCAGATCCCTTTGTCAAGGTTTCCATTCTTTTAAGCCGTTCTGAGAAACTCCTATATCAAGTAGAGTTTGTGCCCATCATACTGACTGTTGCCAGGTGTGTAACCATAGGTACCGTAGACATCTGAGAACAAACCAGTAGATATCTGGCACAAAACTGGAGCATATTCCATCTAGCTCTATTGATTGAGAAATAAAACTGCCATAAATATCTTCCCACAATATCACAAGCTTCAATATCACCTCTATAACACACAAATCAAAGTCTGTCCAAAAATTAATGCTGATTCAAGGCCATGACTTTAGCTTCTCTCAACTGTTTTTGTTTTGATTGACCAATGCATCTATTTCCACCCCAAACTTTGCTTAGGATCACCGCACTCAAACACTTCAAGGAAAACAAGGAAGTCCTTCTAAACTGTCAATAAACCTACAAGACCTGTCTGAAAATATTTACTGGTTCTGAAATGAGTACACTCTGTCTATGGTGAACTGACATGCACAGCTGTGCGACTGCTGCCATTCTTACCTTCAGCCCCCGTCACCGCCATCTCGGCTTCGGCTGTTCTTAGCGGCCACACTTCAAGTGTATTACTGGGTATATGTTTGCGTGTGCATGTGTGTGGTGTGGGCCATGTCCAGTCACACTCTGAGAAACTGCTGTTGTCTGACTACCGTTTTGTTTTCTTGAGTGCCTCTCTCTCTCTCTATTTTAAGAGGTTGAAAGCCTCACATCCACAAAGCTACTAATCCTTTAAATGTCACCACCACCTGTCAACAAAAAGTGACCCCGAAGCCTACAGAGAACCACTTACAAACAGGACCTTGCTCAATCCTCCCAGCTCATCTCATGCGTACATATAAACACAGGTTTTCCAACTCTTTGGGATTTACTCCCTCACAACCTCCTAAAAACCAGCCCATAAATCCCTGAGCTGATCTCCGAAACCCAACTGTCCATGTGAATGGAATCTGTGGCCAAAGGAGCATCTCCTTTGACAGCTTCAGCTATCCCTCACCGCCAATAACAGCCTCTAATCCCAGCTCCGACCTTGCTTTAGGCACGTATCATTTCAGCCCAAGATAAACAGTCCTGCTGGCCATTATCATGGGTCTGCATGGGGCATCATGTCACTAAAAGTCCAGAGGTAATCACCCCTGAAACTGATACGTGTTGGTTGCTTCAGAGCTTAAACCGGGTGTTGACAGAAAGGGTGCTGTTCATGTTGTCCCGGAGCATGGGAGCATGCCCAGCATCTATTTGTATCACATCCATTTGAAACCATAGAATAAACAAACCATCTCACCCTTTGTCATCTTAGACACAGTGATTATTTGAAGAACACAGCATGATCCACAGCACACACACACACAGACACACACACACACACACACATACTGAGATATGGAAAGCAAACTGTAAAAACACAGTGTGAGGGGACAAAGGGAAAGTAGGTTTACCTGATCTGACTGTTGTCCTTTATGTTCCTGTAACAACTGCTTTTACCTCATACCTTATCCAACTGGAGCTCCAATAGCATAACCTACGCAGCTCTCTTTCTCAGACCAAGTGCGCCTGTCAGCCTGACCTGAAACTTGGAGACAGGTCACGTGGACGCCTCACAATCCTAGTGATGTGCTGGGTATTATTACAGGCTGCTTGTGCAGGGCAGGGGGAGGAACTGGAAGTGGATTTGTCAGGCTGGAATTAAGGTGCAGCTTGAATATCTCCCCATCCCATTCTCTCTCCCTCATATCGATCAGAGGGAGTTCTGGATTATGTGACTGAGGGATTTGAGGGTCTGTGTGGTGCAAAGGTTTATGGGAGATAAATGTAGTACAGGCAGGTCTTAATGGCTTGGTTGATGAGTATAGAAGCTAAACTGAAGCTACTGAGCCATGATCTGTAATATAAGCTGTGCAAGTTTCTTTGCATGCCTTTCTACATTGAGGCTGCAAATGCTTGTGTAAATAATGCATGAATACCACTCTGTTTTCTTGCACCTATGGGTCTATTTGATGGCTTAGAGGTGCTTCGCCATCAAGAGGTCTTGTGCACGATGTAACTGCAAACTGATATTCTATATCAGGTTGTATAGTTCAGTTGTGTAGTCATTTAAAAGATTTAAACATTGAAAAATGACACTATTCAGTTGTAATCATAAATAATAGCCCTTCTTATTAGTAAAAAAAAAACTTTATTTTTTCTACTTTTTATAGGTACATTTCTTCTCCATATTCTGTGCTACTCTTTTTTTACTCTTGAAATTCTGCTAATATTGTTGCCTCCCATATGAGAAATTGCTTGTGTTATCCTCAATTTAAGTCACTTTATCTAACAGCATATGCAGATGTAAATATGTGCATCTATGTATATGTAATTGTATATAAAATATATAGATGTACAGTACTCAGCATTAATGTGCACTACAGTAGGTAGTTCCATTGTGGACAACAACTATGCATGTCACTTTTGCAGGCAGATTCTTACTCTGTGAGATAAACAGTCACGCTTTACATAGCTTTTGCCAGCTCCGAGACACTTACTTGGTATTTCTTTTGCTCTTTTTCTAGCAAAAAAAAATCACTCATCACTAAATTAAAGCTTAAAGTGAAGGCCTGATTATTTCAGGGGCCTTGTCACAAGCCCATTGTTTTTAAATTTCTTTGTTACTTTTTTTTTTTTTTGATTTTCACAATTAAAACAATGAGTTGGTATTCCTCTTGTACCATTTTTCTCTTTTGTGCTAAGAAATGAGTCTCCTGACAGTTCTTTCCCAAGTGGTTCCATTCAGCATTAAGTCTGAGAATGATTCAGTGGGCTATATAACATTTTTAATTGTCAATTGTTTTTTCTGAGTAACTTTTAGGAAGGTGTACTCATTTTTGCAGTGCACTAGTATATATGTATATTTACTGACACGTCTTATTGCTTAATTGAGCTTGAAAGCCCACTGTGAGAACATCGTGAGATTCAAGCTTTAGTGCAAACACACATTTCCTAAGGAAATGAGAATGAGATAACTATAAGGACAGACCGTGACAGGGATGCAGATAGGAATCTTAGGACCCATGTTTATATATAAAAAATGTCAGCTTTTGTCATTTACTGTATTTACCTACATCTTCTGCTTTTACTAGAATTTGTATTTGTATTGTAGCACTTCCTATGTTTCTGTCTCCTTAGGATGGATTGTGCCCGTGGAAAGTCACCACTCCCGAATGAGTTCGCGCGAGAGAGCGTAATCTTTTAGTTTTAAGTCGGAGAGATCACTTCCGGCGCTTGCGTAAACTACCCAGAGCGCGTACACACCTTGCAGATAAACATCAAATTTTCATTTTGGGGTGAACTATCCCTTTAATTAGCAAATGTAAATGTTTCTGCAATGTCTCCCTTTTTAGGGCCCAGGATAGCATTCCTGGTTGCCCCCTTCTGGTAGGAATCAGAAACAATTTCTGCAGTGAACAATTCAATGATGGAATAAGTGCTGCAATAAAAAAAAGACTGATATTAGACCGTTTCTTGCTGCAGGATAGGGAGAGACAGATCAAAAGCTCTCACCCTTTCCCAAACATGGGTTGGAGAGCTGCTTTACTATGGGCGTCTGGAGTCTTCGCATCATTTCCTGTGTGCTCAGGCCTGGAGAAGGAGAAGACACAGCAGCTTGTGCAGTAGCAGGATAAGACTAGAGCAAAGGAGAAAATAATCGGTGGGTATTTCTTACTTTAATTATTGCAACAGATTTGATGTCATGTTGAATAAGTGGCATCTAATAACTGTTCATTAGAATTGCTGGTAAAGGGTAACATTAAACAGACACAAAGCTACTAAATGTATCATCATTATAAACAAAACTGTTAAGGTCTTTGACAATCGCAGGTATGTACTGCATCAAGAGAAAGAAAAGTATGCATTTATTCATAAAATTCTAAATAGAAGCACTTACCCAGCCTCAGATCTTACAGAACTCTGCGTCCTCTCTGCAGCTGCACTGCAATTATAAACCCATGAAGTTCTCCCAGGAAAGAAATGAAAGAAAGAAAAAACCCGACTCAGTTCTGCCCCCAAGTGATGTATGAGATATGGCACATGGAATTCACTGAGCAAAGAGAGAAAGCAACAGAGTCCGTTTGCCACCTCACACCTAGAGTCAAAACACAGGGCTATAAAATTACACCGTTTTTTGTCTTTCACTAATGTTTAGCATTATTTAGGTAGACATTAGTTTAAAGAGATTTTTAAAAAATACTACATCTTTTCTTCCTCTGTTATTATTCATTATTGCCCCCTTGTGGAGATGTGTCCATGTGTTCTTGACCAAGAAGGTAATGTGGCCACAAAAAGTATTTGGAAACTCAAAAATCCGACTTTTTAAACTTTGGGAGTAATAGTTTTGGTTACTAAATCAGTCAAAAGAATAATAATAATCTGAATACATGTAGGCTCCGAAGTATAAATGAATCATTGTGTTGATTGCTGGTCCATATTCACTGACAGGTGTGAAGATTTATGAGGTGTCGATGAGTGAGGCAGATGGCATCAGTCCCAGAACACGTTTGGAAATTCTTGGCAAAAGAATGATAACTTCAATAATTGTTACCACAAGATGGAGCCATAGCATTAAAATACGACAAGGAGAGAGGACGCTTGACTGAATGAATAGGCTACTTTATTTTTTAGCTGCAAGGTGCAAATTCTGGTTGGGAGTGTCTGACCACTGTGAAAAAGTCGTAATCCCTTATTCAAATGCACATTTTCAAAAATAAGTATATATGCTTTGGTTGAGGTTTCAGATATTTCCACCTAAATTAGTTTACAAGTTACGAATAGGCCAAAGTGCCTATTTTTCCCTGGTAGTAAACAGACCCTCACAAACAGAAATTGTGTTCGCCTGCTGAGGTAACCACTTTTAACCACCAGTACACTTTTCGTTCAGATAGATGAAACATTGGGAAAACATAAAACTCATTCTATCTGTAAGTTGCTGTTGTGGGTATTGACTGTGTTGATTTAAACTTTCTGGAATTTTCAGAATGTGTCAAACTTTCCAGTCTTTTTGAGTATCACGCTAAATAATTAAAGGGGTCATATGATGCTGCTAAAAAGAACGTTATTTTGTGTATTTGGTGTAATGAAATGTGTTTATGTGGTTTAAAGTAAAAAAAAACAAAACATTATTTTCCACATACTGTACATTTTTGTATCTCCTCTATGCCCCGCCTTTTTGAAACGCGTTGATTTTTACAAAGCTCATCGGTCTGAAAAAGCCAGGTGTGCTGTGATTGGCCAGCTATCCAGTGCGTTGTGATTGGCCGAATACCTCAAGCGTGAGACGGAAATGTTACGCCCCTCACCATACTGTTGATGCCATGTCCCTGCCGGAGCGACCTGACAAAAACATTAAAACCCATTACAAACGAGGCATTTGTTGCATCCAGTGGGGACATAATTACTGATTATAATGACTTATACTGTCTTTTTACGCGTTGCGTTGCATTGCATCGCGCCGTGTAAACATAAAACTCTGTCTGCATTTGTTTGCCCACGAGCCATTTTAGGTAGGTGTGGCTGACTCTGAACTTTTATAAAGAATATCTCTTTGGATTTGAGACTTTAGTCTTTGCAACTTTACAGATCTTCTTTATGCACCAAGAGCTTGTAACACTCGAAAGAGAAAGGAAAAATTGAAATCG